AGGACTTGATAGGTGGATAAAAATGCCAAATCCAGTCTAAGCAACTGGCTGGCTGTGCCAGCACCAATAATATAAAAATAAAAATCACTTTTATGATAAACAAGTAGCATTAAGTAGCAGAACACTATAATTTTTAACAGCTGTATGAAGGAGAACAATCCAATCTTCCTGAAAAGCAAGATCCCCCAATTTTTACTACCTTCCTAGGTGGTGACACCAGAACAAAGCTAGCTTGATCAAGACCAACCTCAGGCATGAGGAGAGACGGTCTTTCAGATGAATATTTCAATAGAGTACATCTATGTGTCCCTGGAGGAAACAAGAAAAGTTATCTTTCTCCCCCCACCCCTATAGAAACAATTCATATTCAGAGCTAGCAGCCACAGCAAAACAAATCTGAGGTCTTGGAAGCTGGAGAGAGCAGCAGATCCAAGCCTCAGAGAAAGGGAAGAAAGCATTGGTTTCCTACCACTTTCTGCCAGCCAGACAAGAAGATTTCAGGGCTCCAGCCAGTTTGGAACAGAAGGCCACCTTTTCTGGAACGGAGAGTGAAGCATTTTGTGCCAAAGCCCACACATCCAACAGCTGTCTAATTTAGGCTTTCCTATTAATTCTGCCTACTAAAAAGTTACTCTGGCTTTTCTGTTTATTGCTTTAAAAAAATATTGCTACATGACCCCTTCAAATATTGTGTTTAAAATATTACCAATCTACAGCTTCATGAAAAGCAAACCAAGAACTGAATAAAGAAGAGGAGGAAAAGAGAATGCAAAAAGAAAGCTCATTCAGGTTTCTGGCACAAATGCTGTCAAATAAACAAACACCAGAATCTGTTCAACGAACTATTATTAACACTTCTACATTAGAGCTGCTGACTACAACACCTGCTTGCTTTTTCTAACTATCTCTGCAAGCCAATATATCACAGGTGTTTCACACACACACACACCAAAATTAAACTGGTCCTCTCCATATTCCACTTTCAAAAAGAACAGACTGTGCCAGAGCAGAAATAAGTTACCATCATTCATGAAGTTCTGGAGAGTTTAAATGCACCTCTCATCCAAGGATTTGATAACAGCCAAAGAGTCCAATGCAGAGATGAGAATATAATGACAACAGGACAGACAATGATCTATCCACAATCTCTGGCAACAGTACAAGAGTCCTGGGAGTGAATTATTACCTTTCCAAATTAATTCACCTTCCACAAATGATGAGACATACTTTAATACAGTGGTAAATGAATAAAATAACCCTAGCCATCTGCTGCCATACCCCCCAGGACCTTTCCTCTTTGATGCCATGTATCTTCTCCTTGATATTGCTTCTGAAAATCATTAAATAAGGGAACAAATCCATCGAGTCATATTGTTTGTGGCTTCACTAGATTATTTTAATTAGAAGAGCAGTACTGAATTATAACCAGAGGATTAACATTTAAACACTACCATAATGACAAAAATCATTTTTATTTAAAATAAAATTATTAAAAGTATATATACATGTGCTTATATGTGTGTGTACATTATATATTTGTTTAAATACATGCACGTAAATGTGCTTTTATCAGCCCTCCCATTCATCTGCATCAGTGCACCTGCTTTTAACATAATGCAGCATCAAATCAATATATATGCTTTAAATTGCACTATGACATTACACTGGCATAGGTCATTGATAATCCCCATCCTTAGCTCCTGCAGCAAATTTGTTATAAAATTAAAATGTGCTAAAACTCTGAAAACAAAATGTAATCAATTTAAAATAAAAGTATAGAAGGCACTAAAACAGTAGTTTTAATTGTTTAATAAAAGAGATATATTCTAAATTTCTCAATAGTTTAGGCTAAGATTTCATGGAGCATAAAAAGAACCTTCTGAGCTACTCCTAATACTTATAAAAACGTCTACTTCTCTGATCCTAGGGAGGAGGAGGAAGATTGACCTCCTATCAGAAACATTGAGGGAAGATTTAGAATTCTGGGGCTAAACCCCAAAGTTCCTGGAGCACCTGAAGATTCATTTCAAAGTTCTACAAAGTTACAAGTAGGATTGCCTTGGAAGTTATGTTAACCTAATAGTTAATTTCTAGCAGATAGAAAAGCCTATGTTAAATTAAGTGATGAAAGAACCTAATTTGTTTTTCTCTCAAAGGTATAAACATTTACATTCTATTTAATGAAGTTTTTTTTTATTGTAAACCTCAAAAAAGGCTGAATTTGCCTCTAACAATGTTAGACTTTGCATTCATGGATATTTCATGGTTTGCTAAAGACTTGCTAAACCAAGTGATCCAAAAAGGAGCAAAAATGGAAAGCCAAAGAAAAACGGTCTTGTAAGCAGATTTTACACTGTATTTTTTGGTAAACTCACACGGATGCTGGCTGTAAGGAAGACTCCATATGGTAGGGATGTACAATTTTGGTTTTCAGCACAGGCTGGCTAAATAAGCAACTGGGATAAATAGAAAGAGATAAGTGGAGCCAAGGCAAAAATTAAAGTTGGTTTAATTGGTATCAGAATTAAATTATATAAATACAGTGTTCATTTATTTGTTGTACAGTGAATTGTTTTGTTTTTTATTGAGGCTGTTTAGGTACAAAAGCAGGATAAAACTAAGTTAAATAATTTTTACTAAATTATTATTCTTAAAACACATCCTCTATTGAAAAAAATGGAAAGTAAAATGTATGTATATTTATGTGTGGATGGAGAGAGACAAAAGAAAGAGAGAGAGAGATAAGCAAGGCCTGGTTGCAAGAACAAAGGCGATAGTGTAAATAATATTCCATTTTGCCTAGTTGTAAATTTTTATTTTGATTAGCAAATATCAGCGGGAAGGCTTGCTAGCATAAATAATTATTTTTTCCTCCAATATAATTTTGTAAGCACACTTAATTCTCACAAGGATGTCTCTAGGGCAGGAGCTGCCCCCTACATTGTCTCTCTGTGTGTTTGCATGTGTGTTTAGCTCAATGATACTCCCGTTGTATACAATGATGATTTTTCACTACATCATCATCATTCCAATCAGGATTATATGACCAAGCTTACACCCAAGAGCTTTAAATTGTATGGAAAATCAGTGACATCCTATCAAAAAGTAAAGGCAATAACTATTTCCTAATCAGACAGACAGACA